TGAAGATAAAAGAGAGAGCGAGCGAAGATTATGGGAATGGTGTGATGGGCGACACAGAGCATATTTTCTCAACTATAACATTCTTCTTTGCGGGATAGAAAAAATCAACTGGTGGCAACATTCATTCAGTGACTACTCCTACACGAGATAAGAATTAGAAACTTTACTGCTTATTTAATTGTAGAGATAATAAAAATGTAGTTTACAAATTGGGGCCGACTGATTCAATACTGCATATGCTGATGTTTTGTATGTCGATGTTCAAAGAGTATATTATAATTCATATTCATCATCCAGAAACAGATGAACATGACCATGAATGAATCACATTGATAGAGATTACATTTCTAATGATGAAGATTTCTCATTCCTAATATGGAAAACTGCACTCCAAAATCAAGCACTTACTTTCGACAAATATTTACCTTTTGGCTTAAGCCTCTTGGACAACCATGACAAATATTTACCTTTTGGCTTAAGCCCCTTGGACAACCCTCTGGTTGTCCAAGGGGGTATGTGGCGCCCCATTATTCTGTGCCGCAAGAGGCACCACATACCCCCCTTCTTGACAATTAAGGGGTTGTCACACACGTATTGGGATGGCAATTCGAACCATCAAAATCGCGGTTAACAGAACTGAATGGAGCAAAACAAAAAAATTGAACCAATGATGCAATGGGGCAAATATGATATTTGATTTTAATGACCAAGTTTGGGATGAGGCGGATATGGTATTTACGCCGTCGCCCCGTCCCGAACTGATTACCCGTTAAAAAAATAATAATAATTGAATTTATTGTTTTATATTTGTTATTCATGCACTTTCTTTTATTATTAATGTTTTCCTCTTTTGTGTATAGAAGATTCTGCTCCATCATACTTCGGAGCTTGTGCAAAGTTTGGTGACGAGAATGTTGACGAGAGATACATTTTTTTGTTTAAATCTTCAGTTAAAACCATTATGGATTATTACTCTACTTACATTTCTTATATACTATATATGAATCAACTTTGAGTTTTGACATATGCTAATAAGAGTTGTGGGAAAAAATGAAGATTAAGTATGAATTGAGGTTTGAGCTTTTGAGTTATTGAATAGGAATCAAGTTCGATGCACATGGATCAAGGGACAAAGATATTGTTTAGTATTGTTATGTTGATAATATTGTTTGTTAAATTCGAATTTTGCATTTGAAAATTGGGATATTGTTTGCATTTTCATTTGAGATGTTGTTTTGCTCCATTGTCTTAGTATTATGTTTTATTTTCATTGGCTTTTTTCATAAATTGTTTTTTTTTATTTGATAGATGGACCCATAAAAAATAATATATTTTGGTGGTTATTAACGACCCAGCCGAGTCGAGTCGAGATACGAACCAAACCGACTTACATGTTTATGGTGCGGTTATGATATGACCAAAAAATTAGTAATTCGATGATGGTTTTGACCAAATCGACCTCAAACCGAACCGTTGCCATCTCTACACAAGCGCAGCCCTTACCTTGTTATTATTTGTTAAGAAGTTCTTGTCGGTTAATTTGATTAAGTTTTGCTCTGGTTAGAATATTGACTAGTCTTGTTGAATGTAGTAAACATTACGTTTAGTACAATTGTTATGCTTCCATTGTCTGATAGTACTGCTTAAAATTTAAATTAATGGAAAAATTCTGTCATACCATAATTTGTAGAAAATTGCTGCTTTATCTTGTTTTAATACAAATTTTCTGTGATAGTACTTATGGTAAGTTTTCCCTGAAAAAATTGGATTGATCACGACTGAAATTTTGAAGGATTACTTAGGACGAAAATTATGGCAGGCTAGTAATATTCACTTTCTAGGCAAAAATAAATAAATAATAAAATTCTGGTAATTGACACAATACATCTTTATTTTTGCTGGTTTTGTGTAAATCTTTTCATCCTTTCAATACAGCACATTTCACCCTCATATCGAGCAAACGTTGTGTAAATAATCTATATCGTCCATTAATGTCATGAAAAATAACAAATGTATCACTCTCTTTAAATAAACACAAACAGTTAAAAAAGAAAGAAAAGAAGAAAATAAATAAAGAAATTATTACAGTTAAGTGTTTCAAATTTTTCAAAAAGTACAAATGAATCGCAAAAAAAATAATAATAAATAAATAAATAAATTTTTTTCTTCTCCAATCCCCTTCCACCACCACCCCTCGCCTCACAAAATTCAAGATTCCGATTACCCAAGCCTCAAACTTCTTTCACAATTCCACGAGACTTATCCATTGTTTGAGCCTCATTCTTTGGAAGAAAAAAATTGTATTTTTTAATATTATTTTAACATCATTTCAACCATAAATTATTTAATAAAATAATATTACATACAAATAAAAAAAATTATTTTTTAACCATACATTTCTCATCAATACAATATTAAAAATTCATTCTTTTTTCCAAAATAGGGCTCAAAAAAGGCTTAAGATTGCACCAAGGCAATCCTGTCATTCAACTAAAAATTATCCTCAACCCCTTCAAATTCCGTGGCTGGGGTTGCAAGATTTTCATCCAAATCCAATCCCTACATTGATAATTTCTATTAAAATTTTCTGATTTTCTTTCTTAATATTCACGTACGCATATGGGTCTGGGACATGTTATGGCGGATGACGGCTGATAGAGCTAATCCAGATGGCCCATAGAGACACCAGCAACGCCATAATACCTCATGTGGAAATTACACAAAACCCTATATTTAAAAAATGTTAGTTCTAGAATCAGGTAGCAAGTTTCACATTTCACAAATCAAATGTTTTATTTTTAAATATTAAATATATAATTTTCATTCCAAACCCTAACAATTTCCCCCTCCTTTCTCTACATCTCGATCTCATGCCCTCATTTCTCTCTCTACATCTCGATCTCACACCGTCTCTCTTCACTGGAGCCGCCAACACTGCCCATCGTCGCCAGCTAAGCACCGCCGACCGTTGCAACAGCGCGCTGTGTTGCAGAGAGCACCACCGACCATTGCAGCAAGGCGCTGTGTTGCCGAGTTTATGGATTTTTTTGATGGTGGTGTAGAGATGGTGGCGGTGACACTGAGCTTGTGTTGAACGAACACGATGATATCATTTTAGATCAGGTTTTGCTTTGATTTTGTTGACGTTTTGTAGCTGGTAGTCGGGATGTTGGCGGTTGTGATGGCAGTGATGTTGAGTTGGTGGTGATGTAGAGAACATGGAGGAGATGGGCGTGGTGTGATGTTGATGGTGGTAGGGGCGGTGATTGATAAATTTGGATCTAATTTTTTTTAAATGGTCATGGTCTGTAATGATGGATTGTCGGGGCTATTTATGTCAGGTTGTTGGCGGTGGGGCTGTGTTAGTGATGGATTGTCAGGGCTATCTATGTCAGGATGCTGGCGGTAGGGCTGTGTTAGTGATGGTGGCGCCATTATTGTGTTGTCATGGTGGTCGCAAATGGCTGTGGTGGACACGGTGGTGTTGGTGGTTATAGTCTGTGACCAACTAACTAATTGGGACCTACATATTATTCAATAATTTTTTACTGAAAATAATTTGTAACCAATTAATTTAAAAATCTATGACATACAAATAAATTGTGACTTATAACTTTTTTAATTTGTAACCTATGAAAATAACTATGACCAATTAAATTGATAATTTGCAATGAATAAATAAGTTGTGATCAATAAAGGTTGATTATGTAACCAATGAATATTCTGTGACCTATTAAATTTTTGATTCGTGACTCGACAATAATCCGTGACCTTTGAAATTTTTTATTTATGGCCGAGAAATAAGTTGGGACCAATAATTTGATAAGTCGTGTCCAAAAGTTAATCTTTAATTAATTAATTAGATAATTATGACCAAATCATATGGAATTATGACCTCAATATATTTAATAAGTAAAATATATGTTTAATAAATTAATTTGTCACGTAAAATTTTTGATTTGTGACTAAGAAATAATAAATGACTAATTAAATTGTTAATTTGTGATCAAATTATATAAATATGTAATCTAAATATATTTAATTAATTAATTAAATCATAAATAAATTTTAATAAAAATCTGATTTTTGAAGTTTGAAACTTATTTTCTTGATTTTGAAATATACCATACTTAATCTCTTACTTGTAAAATTTTCCCATGTTTCATTTTATCTGGCACCAGAAGAAGTTTTCTACGATAAATTTCTCTTCTTTCATCATGGAGATGTCTATCAGATAAAGCAATTAGCCATGGCATGCTAAACACCGCAACAAACAATTTTCCTATAATTCCAAGAAAAAAAAAATTTCAAGATTTTTAAGATGAAGTACAATAACCACCCTTCAACTCTCAGCAGACTCCTGCGGAGAGAGACATCAAACATCCACCATATCTCCCATTTACACAAACACTTTTAGACATTCCAAATTGATCTTCCCGATATATGACACCTCACCGTTGACTCCAGTAAAACATAGCCTATTTTATACAAGACGAGAGACCAACGATGTATTAGCTATGAGAACATCAGAGAAAAAATAAATAAATAAAATTACTCATCATTAACAAAGAGCTCTTCCATCCCTAATAAGCAAATGCAAGTGCAAAGTGAAACAAGATATATAATTCCAACTTCCATGTTTAATGATGAGTTTCATAGTGATGCGTTCGGCAGAATACCAATATACATAGATGTGATTATTTTTTTATTGTTGGTGGATAGTATAATCGACGTTTATTTTACCCCAATAACAACTTTTTGTGTAGGTGTATAAATGCTAATTTATACTCCCTCAGTCCCATTTGTATAGGCTGATTTTGTTTTTCATGTGAATTAAGAAATCTTATTTAGTGTTATTGAATACGATTTTTGCCAAAAACTTCCTTAATCTGCCTTTATTTATATTTGTACAATTTCAGGACTAAGTGTAAAAAATTGGATATAACTAGGAAAACTAAATAAGGGTATATTAGTAAACGAACAAAACAAAACATTCTCAATAAAGAAACGGGACTATATAATTGGGGTAAGAAAATAAGGAAAATCAGCCTATATAAATGTTATGACACTGCCAATGGGCAAAACCCAGCTATACACATTCTAAGAGTCGGCCTAAGATACCCAAAGTCGAGCAAACTATATAAATCAAAAGTTTCGCCCCCACGTAAAATCATCTATTAAATTGACCATGCGGTCCCTTTCCTTTCCCTCCTAGAGCACACTTCATAATAAATTGACTATCAAGTCTTATGAGCTCCAGTTCAATCCCAAACTTTTCAAGTTCAGTATCTTTGCAGCTCCAGTAATTCATTAGCAACCTTTGTTTCTTGCTCGGTTGTCCCCCATGAAACCCCAAGAATCCAACCTTCTAAATATCTTACTGAAATATACATGTCCATCTGTACCACATATATACACTCTTTGATTTTGCCCAATCTCTCTATTACACCATTTGCATTCTCTAGGTTCTTTAGCCCTTTGCACCATGCTTAAAAGTTTGAGTTCTGCAGCATCAAACCACCAGAAAGACCATTTTGCATCTTCCACTACTGCTTCCCGTATTAGGAACTGATTCTGCCTTCAAGCGATGGAACCAATCTACACATTTGCCTCCTGCTTGCAGGCTGAATACAGATAACCTGAAATACTTTGAGGCACACAAAATGTTCACCTCCAAACTCTAATACCTTAGTGAACAATTCCCACCAACTTCAGAAAGAGGTTCAAATCCATTTCTGTTCCATCTATATCTAGATGTTCCAGATCCAGAGTTGTGGCAACCAATGTACATGGTAATACCTTATAAATAATCAGATCTCTAGCCATCTAATTTGTATGTCTCATAATTGCTTAACTTATTTCATTCAGTGGACCAAAATTCTTTAAGCAAGGTCCAAAGGAAAATTCCTTAGATCCATATTAAATCTCGATCACGTTGACACAAACTAATATCAAAACTCCAGAAATCCTCTTGATGGTAAATCCTTATACTGTGCTCTATATTGAAGAGTAATACTACCTAGACAACAATTACACTGTTTAACTTTCAAAATAAATTTACAGTAAAATCAACGTACATTATTTGCAGAACCACAGAAATGCTCTTTTACACAGTTTATTATCTAATCAGGCTTTTCATTCAACAAACCCTAAAGATGCATGAATTGGAGGAGGAGTAAGCTCTAATAACTATATATTATACCCCTAAAGAACCATTTTCCCACACGAGAGAGAGAGAGAGAGACCTCAAACACCAGTAGTGGCAGGAAGATAAATCCTGACAGTGTCTTTCATAGTTATTTTCTTTCTACATGTAGGACATTTACTCTGAGCAGCTATGGCAGTCTTGATGCATGCCTTGCAGAAAATGTGACCACATTTGGTTGACACCTCATCAACTAATGGGCCCATGCAAATTGGACAGCTGAATTTAGGCTCCTTTTGGGGTGGCGAAATTGGCAGTGAAGGCACCACACTCTGTGCCGTGTTTTTCTAAAATGCACAAAGCAACCATTAGTCCATCTTGGATTGTCATACCAACATCTGAACCTCCCGAAGAAGGGGATAAACTAAAATACAGGCATGGCAGCCAAAGAAACAGATGTCAGCAACAACAAATAACTTGAAAAGAATCTAGTAAGCCCAACTCCAAAAGAAGAGTTAAACAGCATAAAATGTCAAGGATGATGCATACTCGCAAAGCATGATATATGAACTAGCAGGAACTAGCAGAACTCATATCAAACAGAAAGAAAAGCATACAACTCAGCTCTATATAGTTTCTCAAAAATCATTACTTCGTGTGCACAAATATGCATGATTACACAAAAGCAACTGAATCTTAAAACATGTCCTATCAGTTTGGATCCAATGCCAAAATTTAAAAATAAACTGCTGCCAAATTTCATTGTAAATTTTGAAATAAAAGTTAAGGTGGCTGTTAAACCAAAGGATAATCACCCAAAAATCTATTAATCAAACCCACAGTACATTGCAAAACATGTAAATTTCCTTTTATTCATAGTGGGACCAACAGATTACATATAAAGTATCACCATCTTTAACTGGACATCCAATTTTTTATGTCAAAAAATTCTAATAAGTTGAACCAAAAAATCAATGTCCATACAAAGGCTAATATATAGTGAAGCAAGCTAAAAAGAAAAAAAAAAAAAAAAAAAAAAAAAAAGAAAAGAAAAGGAAAGGAAAAAAATGATAAATTAAAACTGAACAGAAAAAACCCTTTATTATCATGGATGTACAAATATACGACAGTCTTTAAAAAATACTAAAGCAGAATCACAAAAGCATCATAAAATATGAAACCATTTTGAACAAGTAAAACAGCAAATAGAATGTTCATTTTTGTAGAAATAATTCATTACCATGGCGTTGTTGTTTCCATCCAGATTGACATACACATCACAATTTATGATTGTTTGGTTTGCAGAAACTCTTCTGCGCTTGTTACGAGATGACCTTTCTTCTGCAATAATATAAATGAAGTCAACCTGCAATCTCCTAGAAAATAAGAACAGAAGGAAAAAAGGATCTCCAAATCATACAAGTGGAAGGCCATAAATCAGAAGAAAGAAGCAAATAAACCAGACCAATCGAGTTCCATTGAGTTCAATAAAAGGAAAAGTTCACTTACAGCTACAAACTTTTCAGAAGTTGTCAAAAGAAAATACTCAAGTTTTTGGCACAACAAAGGTATAAATGCGTCAACATGAAACGAAAAAAATTACCTTACATAATTGTGAGCTACTAGACCTAGTCATGCCATGGGGACATTTTTCTTCTATTTCTTTACAGAATTGCCAATATAGTGAAATTAATCAACCAGACAGAGGAATAAAAAAAATATGAACACCCCAGGATAATAAAGGCTAAGAGAGCGAATAGTACTTCAAACAACAAATTAAATGATGATAATAAAGTCACAACTCATTCTCAAGCAACTTATGAGAGAACAGGTTTGAGCAAAATTCATTAATCAACTATCGTGCAGCATTCCATCCCTTTTTCAGCACCAGATGTCGAAGAATGAATTTGTAATCACTAAATACGGTCAAAAATCATCAACAGATTTCCATTTTATCTCACGTTCTCCTACTAACCTGGAGTCACCTGTACCATCAAGGGAAGTCTATGTTTACGCTTCAGACTCGAATAACTTTTCACCTTCCCCAAGGGACTTCTGTTACATGGGAGGTGAATGTCAAGTGTGGCATCTAGACACACACTGGCCTAAAGTAACAAATTTGGACAATTCAGTAATAACATGCCAAAAAAAGAAAAGACAGGTAGGGGTACACATTATAAATATAAGTACGTGTTGTGTGCTTCATTTTAGTAAAACAAAAAAAGTTTATCGTTAGTTAAACATCTGCTGGTTTTATTTCATAATACAAGAATTTATGTATACAAATAGAAAATCTAACCAGTAATTCTTATCAGTTTAGTTTTTTTTTGGGGGAAATATGTAAAGTTTTGAACAATAAGTAATTTTTAAGTAAAATGACAGCATTACTACAACTTGTCATCCTTCTGATGGCAGAAAATCCTGAATAGACTTGACTTTGATCTTTTATTGCTAGAGGTGTGAACGATAAGGTTTTGTCCATGAAGGCACCCAGTTAAAGATCTAAAACTAAACTTTAGACTCGATCTGTCTCCTCTCTCTCAAGCACAGCAGTGGGAACAAATTGTCTTTCTTCTTCTCTGTTTTTCTTATGTCACCAGAGGGTAATAATCTCCTTCCACTGCATCTTCTCTTCTTCCTCTTGCTCAAAATTATGCATGATATCCATAAAACGCCCAAGGCCTCTCTAACCACGTCTTCCACAGATCCCCCGCTGCCACCGTCAACATGTAACATACAAGGTAACATGCAAAATAGAAATTACTTCACACAATTTGCGGATGTCATTGGAACTAATTACCATAGGAAAGGGACTGTTCATTCATAATCATCTAGTTACGATCTGAAGCAGATATTAAAAGAAAGCCTTAACAAAAGAACTCCAGGGAAATCACTATATTAGAATAAGAAAAACATCCTGAATATGTAAACGTGTGAGAGAGAAATTAAGTACCAGCGTCTAGATCAACCACAACAGTTCGTCCACGATTCCTTATAGAATTATTTTTAGCCTGAAGCAAAAGATTTAGCACAATGATGAGACCGTACTAACACAAACAATGAACAGAATTCAGCAAATAAGTTCAAAGGGGAAAAAATGGTAGAAGATATTATACCTCTGCAAATGCCCCTGGGGAAGATATAATCACATCATCCTCGTATGCCTCAAGATCAATCGGTGCAGGTACAGTGTCTACCTGTTGGCCAGCTTGCCCATCCTGAGATCTAGCACGAGTTGATGTCCCCTCCTGATTTCGGCTTTCACATGGTGGTTCAGCATTAAGATCAACATTTAGCATTGGCATCCTCCTCCGACTCCTCGCATACCGCATAACTCGCTCCTGGGTGCTCATTCTGTACCATATTACAATTAATCAAATCTCCTATGCACTATGCATGCCAAGCTAACTTTTCCAAATGACATTTATGCCCATAATATGTTCTTGAATTTTTAAGCCCCTCAGAACCCTCTTGTTATTGGCCCAAAAAAAAAAGGATTCGAGAGTTGTTCACACACGAAACAAATTTACATGATAAACTTCCCACAGCAGGTCCTAACCTTAAGAAATTTAGCATCAAAACAAACCCCAAAGTCTTCCATTAAAAATCTGTATCTTAACAGTATCTCAAGGATTTCACATTACTTAAAGAAGTCCAACCTCAACAAGAAAAGTTATAATGTTAGCCACCTTCAGTATAGTAAGTTCAATTTTCTGCGACAACTTTCAAAAACACATTATCAGTGAGAATAATAGGTTAATAATATACATACAGTAATGCAATTTTCATTTATCATGTACAGTGTCAAAATAAAAATGTATTAAAAGGATCTAGATGCAGCAAACTGCTTGGACTTGACACCCCTAGTATCAACTTTAAAAAAATAAAATAAAATAAATCCCCAAACCCTTGGGAGCATAGGCCATTGAAGCAACATATGTTTGCAGCACAGTTAACCAATACAAAATCCACACACTGATATTACTTAAGCTTGAAGCAAACAAACATAGAATTATATGAAAAATCATTTGAAAATAAGCCAGATTCGGACATCCATGACTAATAGCTCTGCGAAAGGAACTTAGCCCCTGTTCGGTTTAGATAAAAATCAAATCACAGATTTAAATAAAAGTTGATGAAATGTTTTGGTGACAAGTTGATAAAAATTATGAATACTATGAAATGTGTGGTAGAAAATCAGTTGGAGAAAATCGGGACCAAAAGTGGGGCTTAATGTCCAAAACATGCAGTAAATATAATAGTAATAATGCCGAAAAATTACTCTAAAGAGGCTAGGCCACTGGCTAAAAAGTATTTTGTGAAAAAGAACATCAACGGTAAGTCTAAAATAAAATTAACCACGACGATCATTATAGTCGGCCTCTAAAATTAAAAAAAGGGGAAAATTACCGATATATAAACCCTAGCCGCACATTACAATACTCTGGACGATCAAGAAAGCAGAAAAGTTCAATTAATAAGAATTAGAAAGGTTCAAAAACAACATAACACATGATGTTATAATTATAATAACCCGAAAAATCTTTTTCGACCGGAATTGTACACCTTTTTGTCTGGCTATCAATCTATCTCGTGTGATACAGTTAACAGTTCAAATAAACAGATATCTACTAAATCAGAACCACGCGCGCACGCACACACATAAAAACTAACTTGTAATCTTCCAATAAGCCATGAAATAGCAATCGGATAGAAATCAAACCTGATATTCTGAAGCAAATCGATTGGGAGTTTGAAAGTGTTTCTATAGAAACGTAGTTGGGGTGGCGAAGGTAGGGGCAGGGTTCTACACTGTAAAAGGAGGAAGGGTAATTAAAGGAAATGAGAAAGATGTTTTTTTACTGTGTTTTTGGTTTTATACATTTATGAAGACGACGTTCGAAATTCATAAGCAATTTGGAACTTTGTCTTTTCCCACTTTGGCACTCTCGTAATTGTATTTCCTTTTCTATTTTTTATCTTTAGTTACTACAATTTTTTTTTTATGAATATACAACTCGTCTAACGTCTATCAAAATTTACTAAAAAATCCGATTTTAATCTTCATGGGCTAAATTTTATAGAGCTTGTGACATGTAGAGAGTTTATATAAATTAAGCTAAAGATTCTTTAAATTGATTTTTTTTTTCAAATTATTTCAATAGAATAATTTTACAAATGAAGTTATTGTTGACATTTTATTTTCCTTTTTTTTAAGTTAATGCATTGTATTTAACACTTATTTGATAGAGATTAAAATCTAAATTTTAATCTAAATCAAACTCAAAATTAATTTTAATCGCATATTTCATAGGATCCATAATTTTTCAATGACACATTTCAACAATTTTTATCAAATTTTACTTTAAATCTTATTTTAATCACACAAATTTGAAAGGCTTGTGGTTCATGTAGTCATTCCAAATGAATGCCTCTAAAGCAGGAGACACGAGAATGATTGTAGTATTATTGGAAGACAACAGAAACAAGAGTGACGATGATATTCTTAACCTGTCTTATGATCAGTAGTAAAGATTCATTGACATGAAATTCAGGGCTCTAAGCTAAGTACTCTCACTTCGTACCATGTTAAAAGTTGACCAGAGATTCCGATGCATTTCGAGACCTAATGGAGACAATGGTTTGTAAAAAGAAGCAAAAGTACATGTGAGATCAAACACTTAGAAAGTTATCTTAAACAGAAACATCGAAGCGATGCCTTTACAAGACAACAAAAGCAAATGAAAAAAGTAAGTAAATATGACAAATGATACAAAATCTAAAAACAATACCAATTTACTGTTGGGAAATTATTAATTTGCCATGTGGACCGACATATGTAATTAATTGTCTATAAAAGATATTTAAAATTTAAGTTCAAAATTAAAGTAATCTAATAAAAAAATTAAGTAATTGGGCTTAGAACATCTAAATAAAGTATGGATCGAATTATATGTGTAAAAACCATATTTCTTTATAATAGTATTTTATGATGGACGAAATACATATGAAAACTATATATATGGTTATGGTCCCCAATTCATATGCAATTTCTCATTCTTTGTATCATTCCATCAACATAAGAATACAAAACAAAACAAAAAAAGAAAAAGAAAAAAAGGCATATTAAACAAAAAGATCCAAAATCCACACTCAAGAACAAGCAATTTACAATCAAGAATTAAGAAGAAATCTTCAAGAACTCAAAAGTTTATATTCAAGAATCAAGATTAAAGATTCGAAAGATAAGATTCAAAGATTATAATTCAATATTCATCGTTCAATAGAGAAATCAATGGAGTAAGGTATCTTCTGCATTATTTAATTTTCTTGATGATTTGACGTAGAGGATCTTGATAATAAAATAATTGGGTTTTCATGTTTATTAAGATTTAAAATTTTATAAAATTTCAACAAGTGGTATCAGAACCGACTCCATATTAAACTATTGGGATTAAAGGAAGAATTTTGTGGTTGAAATTCATATATTGAGTTTTAGAATTTTTTTAATTTGGAATATGAATTTTAGCCATAAATTTCGAAATCCGGATTTTTTCAATATAGATTTTATGGTTAAAAGTTATAATTTGAATTTTCCAATTTAGTATATAAATTTTATCCCTAAAATTCAAAATTTAGATTTTTGGGGATGTTCTCCAAAATTTTGGTTCAAAACTACAGTCCGAGCGCATTGTAGCGCCCGAGGGTGCACCTAGGCAGCGTCGATTTTTTCGAGTATTTTTTTTGCCACAAAAGAGAAAAACAAAAATATATAAATTGGCAATCAATTTGAAATCTTGGTATTTAAAATTTCTTTCGAATTACTAATTTTATAAAATAGATTAGTTGAAACAACATGTTACCAAAATAACCTCCCTTGACTAAATTAATTTATTTGGAATATTAAGAAGGTTGTGTGTATTTATTTCATGCGGATATTTAGGGTCAATATTTGGCAGAATTATTTACACACCTATGTTAATAAATATGTGACAATTGTAAAATTTTTCCATTTATGTGAATATTGAGTCGATTCAAAGATAGACTTGATATTTGATCAGATTTATTGTTAATATTTGATTACTACACCAAGAGTACCACTTACAAGTTGATATTTCTGTTTAAAAACTAAATATCAATGTTATGCTCGGTCTCTTGCTATGAAGCTCACCACATTTGAATTATTGATTGTCATGTGACCATGTTATTTAAGTTTAACTTCTCTATTCGATTAATCCACCTACTTCAGCAATATATGCCAAAATTAAGTAAATTTCTGTGCTTGAACCGAAGTTTAAAAGCTGGAAAGAGAATGTGTGTATTGTTCTTGGTGACATGGATCTAGACCTTGC